AAATGGCTGAACTATTGTACTAAACTTCTTCCAATTAACAAAACTACTTGAGAGGGTTAGCTTGTTTTATTTATACTGATTTTTAAAAAATAAATGTTATTGTGGTAAAATATATGTAACAAAATTACCATTTTAACCAGTTTTGTGTGTGTGTAAAATAACCATTTTATTACTCTTACAAACTCTGTGGTTTGGGAGTTTGGGTTGGGCACAGTGGGGATGTCTTTTTCTTCTCCATGATGTGTGAGGCCTCAGGTGGATAGACTCAAATGCTGGAGGTGACTTGAATAGTTGGGACTGGGATCATCTGAAGGCCTCATCACTCATGTCTGGTACCTGAGTGGGATGATGCAAAGACTGGCCTCAGCTGAGACTGTCCGCTGGAGCACCTATATATGTCCTCTCCATATGGCTTGGGCTTTTTGTAGCATGGCAGCTAGCTTCTGAGACGGAGCATTCCAGGAGAACTAGGTAGAAGCTGCATGGCCTTTTTTGCCTACATATGGAAGTCAGTCACTTCTTCTGGTTACAAGAGAAAGATATAAGGCCATCCCAGATTTACGGGGCAGGGAATTAGATTCCATCTCTTGATGGAGTGATGGCAAGATCACATTGCAGAAGAGGCTGTGGGATGGGAGATATTGTTGTGGCCATCTTTGGAAAATACATTCTGCCACAATTTGCCCTCTGTCACAATAATTCACATCCTTTCCACCTGTAAAATACACTCACTCCTCCAGGTACCCTCCCCACCAAAGTTTCATCTCACTGAAACGTTAGCTCAAAGTCCAGGATCTCATGATTTAAATCAAGTCTGGTTGTGGCTGGGGTGCCTCAGGTGGGATTCCTCTGGTACAGCTGCTTGAGTACAATTCTCCATCCAAGACCTCTGAACTGCAGAGATAAGTTACCTGAACCCGCACATACCCAGTATATAGTAGTGATAGGATAGCTGCAATAGACAACCCTCTTCAAATAGAGAGGGAAAGAAGGGGAAGTACCTAGTAGTCTTGGTCCATTAACCAAAAATCAAACCAGTTTCCATGAGTTGATTTCCGACTCATGGTGACCCCTGTGTGCCAGAGTAGAACTGTGCTCCGTAGGACTTTGAAGGCTGTGACCTTTCAGAAGTGGGATCGCCAAGTCTTTCCTCCAAGGCGCCTCTGGATGAGTTTAAACCTCCAACGTTTTGACCAGCCGTTGACTGCCCAACCATTGGCACCACCCAGGGACTCTTAGTCTTAGTCCATAGTTGTTCTGAAATCTACTTGGGTGCTAATTGCTATTTCCTTGATTAGAGCCCAGTACTGCTCCTGGGAATGATTTTTTTGTGGCCCTCTGCTTTGCCATCTGAGCTCTTAGTTCTGCCTTCTGAGTGAGCCTTCCTTTTTCTGTACAAAGCAGCCTATGTTTTCAGCTGAGAACTTTTCTCAGCCTGCTTCCTACCCATAGATGTTTGGGGATTCAAAAGTCTCTCCATTTTTGCATTATCTCTATTTCTTTTGGAATCCGTGAGTGTGGTACACATGGTTAATGGGCTTGACCACTAACCGCCAGGTCGAAAGTTTGGGTCCACACAAGGGTACCTTGGAGGAAGAAGGGCCTGGTGATCTACTTTGAAAAAAATCAGCTATTGAAAACCCCATGGAGTACAGTTCCACTCTGACACACGTAGGCTTACCACGAGTCAGAGTCAACTCAATGGCAACTGGTTGCTATTTTTTTTTTCTCTTAATTTTATTTTGTTGTTGTTGAGAATATACACAGCAAAACATACACCAGTTCAACAGCTTCTACATGTACAATTTAGTGACACCGATTACACTCTTCACATTGTACAACCGTTTCACTTCCTTTTCTGAGTTGTTCCTCCCTCTTAACATAAACTCGCTGCCCCCTAAGGTTCCTATCTAATCTTTCAAGTTGCTGTTGTCAGTTTGATTCCATATAGATAGTTATTAAAAGAGCATAATGCTCAAGGCAGACATTCTTTACTAGTTAAGCTAAACTATTGTTCAGTTTTAAGAAGACTTCAGGGAATATTTTTGGTTTAAGGCTTGAAGATTATCTCAGAGCAATAGTTTCAGTTGTTCATCTACCCTCCATGGCTCCAGAAAGTCTAGAGTCCATGAAAATTTGAAATTCCATTCTGCATTTTTCCCATTTTGATCAAAATGTTCAGTAATGATAACTGGGCACCATCCAGTTCTTCTGGTCTCATGGCAAAGGATGTCCCATGAAACCATGACCCTAAACCTCCAAACCAAGGAACCAAGTCCCATGAGGTGTTTGCTTGTACATAAGCATAAGCAGCCTCAGTAGCTGTTCTTCGTTGTTATTGTGAACATATCTATCACACAACTTTTGCCAATTCAACTTTTTACAGGTGTACAACTTATAGCAATTACAGTAATGAGCTGTGCAACCCTACCCTTAATTAATTTTTTTACCACCATTAATCCCCTTCCCCCTTCCTCCTGCTCCTGGTAACCACTAATAAACTCTGGTCTCAATACGTTTGCCTTTTCTTGTCTTTTTATGTAAGTGAGTTCATACAATATTTGTCCTTTTTTAATTGGCCTGTTTTGCTCAGCATAGCGTCTTCAAGCTCCATCCATAATGTAGCATGAACCAAGACTTCATTTCTCCTACTGAGTAGTATTTCATTGTATGTATGTACTACATTTTGTTTATCCATTCATCTGTTGATAGGCATTTACGTTGTTACCACCTTGTGTCTATTGTGAATAGTGATGTAATGGACATTGGTGTACAAGTCTCTTTTTGAGTCTCTGCTTTCAAGTCATTTGGGTATATACCTAGGACTGGAATTGCTGGGTCGTAATGGTAGTTCTATTTTTAGTTTTCTGAGGAACAGCCACACTGTTTTCAACAACTAATGTACCATTTTGCATTCCTACCAGCAGTGGATAAGGGTTCTAGTTTCCCGACATCCTCACCAACATTTGTTGTTTTCTGTTTTTTGTTTTTTTTTTTTTTAATTTTAATCATGCTAGTGGGAGTGAACATTTTAACCGTTTTTAAGTGTACACTTGATGACGTTATTTATATTCACTATGTTGTGCAACCATCACCGCTGTCCATTTCTAAATGTTTTTTAATCACCCCGAACAGAAACTCAGTACCGCTTAAGCAGTAACTCCCCATTCCCCCCTTGCCGAGGCCCTGGTAACCACTAATAAACTTTTGTCTATATGCATTTGCCTATTCTAGATATTTCATATAAATGGGTTCGTGCAATATATGTCCTTTTGTGTCTGACTTAATTTACTTAGCATGTTTTCAAATATAGTGGATGTAAATAACGTCTGGTGCTGGACTGTTATTTGTTGGGAGGTTTTTGTTTACTGATTCAGTTTTTTGTTATAAGTCTGCTGAGATTTTCAATTTCTTTTTGAATCTGTTTAGGTAGTTTGTGTGTTTCTAGGAATTTGCCCGTTTCGTCTAGGTTATCTAATTTGTTGTCTTACAAGTGTACATAGTATTCTCTTGTAATCCTTTTTATATCTGTAGTCTATAGTTTAAAAATTCCAAGTGAAATTAAGTCAGACATTTTCATTTCTGATTTTAGTTATTTGCATCTTCTCTTTCTCTTTGTCAGTCTAGCTAAAGGTTATGTTACACTGATTTTTGAAGTACTTAACAGCAGTGTCAAATTTTGGGAAGTGAAGTCTCTCTTAAGCAAATGTGGTTTTGATTATATGGTCTGGGTTAGGATATACATGTTTTTATTATTGTTTGGGTGAATTCTTATTTCCACATTTTTATCAGTATTGAAAATTGGTGAATGCCCTCAGGCTAAATGTTTTAGAAGTTAGATGTTGACTTGAAAGGTCCATGTTTTCCTCTTTAAGTGGCTCTAGATAGACAGTCATTCCTTCCTTGGAGTTTTAGGGGAAGACAAACTCTAAGGTTGAAGCTTAGCGTTCACAAGTATCTAATAATGTGCTTTATTCCCAGAATAGAGCTGTTAACTGGCAACCCATTTCCCTTTATCAGGCCAGGATGCATGATTAGAAAGCAGAACAAAATGCTTTAAATTGAGATTCTTGGGAAGTTTAGGGCCTTCTGTGTGCCTCATTTTTTACACACATACACACACACACACACACACAAACACAAAATCAGTGTATATTATCTGTTGCTGATTTGTCAAATTGTAATTGGTTCTTGAAATAGAGGCAGTTTTGATATGAGTAGTGTTTGGGGATTCTGAACATGAAAGGGGATAAGGTATGAGTTATGATAGAGAACTGATACAGAGAGATGTTTTTGGCCTACCAGTGTGTTATTGTAACTTAATATACATGGCAGCGCCTGAATTCTGGAGAGCTGTTTGTAAGATTATTGTGCTCTTCATTATTCCAAGCAGCAGATCTCTTAGGAGTAAAACTTATTCCAGTTCACTAATGATTGGCTAAGCAAGCTCAGTTAGGTTTAGAGTATCCAGTCAATATTAGATGGCTTAACAATAGTAAACTCACTGTCCATATAGAAAAAGATTTGGCATGTTTTGATGAGACTTTTTGTAAAACTATCTTTTTCCTGACAAAACATCTCGTTAGGCTTTCACTAAAAACAATGAGTACAAATTGTATAATTTAAAAAATATAAATGCCCTTTCCTATGGGGCAGTCGTGTAAAGGGTGTGTTCCTTCAGTTCTGGTTCATTTTAGTATAGAATTGACATCATTGGCAACTCTGAATTATGCAGTTATTTTATGTCCCAAGAAAGCTGGGCCTGTAAATAATTGGTAGAATATTACTTTGAAATAAAAATATTGATACTTTTCCTTTCCCTTACTGCTCTGCACTTTGTGCCTTTCGGCCGTTAATGTGTAATCACCTATTTGATCTCTAAAACTTGTTACCAACATGGTTACTGTTGAAGGTATAAGACTCTAGAATTTTAGTTTATTTTTATGGAATTTATTATTCTTAGTCTGTGGTGTAGATTAACACCCCTCTTTCTCATCTAGAATGATTCTGCTCATGGTGATTACATGCACAGTCACGAGACCAGTTTAATAGAACAAGCCCCAATACCTCATGATGGACTTACTCTGGCACCTCATAGAGCTCAGCAAGAAGGTATGCTATATTTTTTGTAAACTTAAAGCATCAATAGACCAAAAGATTGCAGGGTAATATGTACATTGACTAATACTAACTCTTCTGTCTTCTATCAGAGTAGAGAAATCCTACTGGTCCTTCTAGGTCTGCCCTCTGTGTTCCTTCTCTGCCCCCACAGCACCTTGGTCTTTTAACACTTGCTTGATTCTGCTTTGTATTGTCCGTGTCTCTATGGCTGTATCTTAAACCTGGTTACGTGCTGTTGGAGGGCAAAGACTTTCATGCTCCTAAAGTATTTAGTATTGTGCTTTATCTGTAGTATGCTCAGTGTCTGCTGAAAAAAGTAAATTTTACAGAGGTTCACTCTAAGAGAGTGCATAAATTTCCTACAAGTCTATACTTCCTGCAATAATGCTGTTTCCAAGAGGACTGGAGTGGGGAAATGAAAAGACTGCCATCTAAAAAGAAAACAGTTCAAATATTCTCTTCTCCTTGGATTTGGGAAGCGCATTAACCTGTGTGAAGAGGATAATGGGAATGGGAAATGTAGATTGCTGTATGTGCCTTAGAAGCCCAGGGTACAATAAGTACCACATCATGCTCAGTTGTAACAGTTGTGAATTTATGTCACTGCCCCCTTTGTGGGAGAAAGATGTGGCAGTCTGCTTCCATAAAGATTACAGCCTTGGAAACCCTGTCGGGCAGTCCTACTCCATCCTATAGGGTCGCTGTGAGTCAGAATTGACTCGACGGCAGCAGGTTTTTTCCCCCTATGTGTCCTTTGAGTCTCCATAATAATCCTTTTTGTGTAATACATTTTATACATTTAATGCATTTTCCTCATAGAGGGAAAACAGGGATGATGTTTAACGTTTTAAAAGTGTACATAGTTACCACTTCTGTTGGAGACTTCACCACCGTTCTCCTTCCTATCTCTCCAACCAAAGTACTTCAGTCCTAGACTGCTTCAACTAAACTCATTGATTGTGTGTGTAACCTAAAGCACAGTTTGGTTTTACAATGAAGGTCCTTATTTTTTAATGAAAATATCTTCGAAAAACAACTGTAAAGTGATAACTACAGATGATTTTTATTATATTCCTAGCTTTAAACAATGTATGTAATAACATGCGTTTTAGTTGTAATTAATGAGGGCTAGAAGGTCTCCCATTATCATCCATTCCTCACCACATACTGTTTTACTCATCTTGATTCTGATAGATAGCAGCAGGTGGAGCATATTGAAATGGAGGCTGAAGGTATAGCCATGTCCCCATACTTTGTAAGGCCGTAATAGCCTTTTGTACTAAGACAGGCTGGGAGTTGACCAAAAAAAAAAAAAGCCATGAAGTCCTTCACCCTTAGCCTACTGATTGTAGAAGTAGAGCTGCTTTATTTCTGAAGTAGATTAGTTTAGAAGGTTCTTATTTAATAGCATCTTCTTTAAATAATAGAAAATCTTTTGAAAGCAGCAGACCAGCCCTCTCCCGCTCGGCCTTTATAGCATTGCAGCAGTTCTGAGGAATTCTAGGCTTCTCACCTGGCTTTGGGATTCTCCTCAACATTCTGACCTAATAAGGGAAAATTGTCCCAGAAGCAGGTCACCAAACATTTTATATATTTGGAATGTTGGCAGAAAATACTGATAATGGTATCACCTTAGTTTATTATGAATGTCTGCTTACCTAAAAATTTCTGTACCTTATACTGTGCCCCCTTTCATTGCCTGCCTTCCATGATCTATAACAATCCTATTTCTTCTGTACTTTTGTGACTGTATATTCTACTTCATCTGTTTTAACTTTTTCCGCTAGGGCGAAATGAATCTTCCCTTTTCTTCCTTATTTCCTGCTCCACCGAATCCAGTGGCGGCGCTGTTCTGTTCTGTCGTGTTCCTAACTCTTCCCTGTGACCTTCGTCATATCCGTTATCATCAATCTCTGACATTACCTCTCTCATTATTGAAGTACTGTTTCTTCTGTTTATACCCTGTGCAACAGTCTTTCCTTCCTAAGTTTACACTTACCAGATTGGCTCTTTTCAATTTGTAAAAAGATTCACTTCCTAAGTTGATACTTCTACTAAAGGAAGTTTCAAATGAGTAGGTGGGGGATTTGTGTATTTGCTTACATCATAAATAAGCTGATTATTTGTCTAGTTCAATTCAGAGTAATTGTGTTTAAGTCTTGAATGTAATTTATCACTGCTATTTTAACTCTACAATAAATTGTGAAAAATGTTGGTATAGTGAACCTTCATAGTTCAGCATAATGTTCAGTTTGTATTTACATTAAGGGTCACGTTTGAGAAAAACAATTCTTAAATTCCTAGTTTGACAGGAATTTCCATCAGTTTTGGTGTATTATTTTTGAGTGTTTTTTCAATTAAAAAAGCTAAATGTTTTATCATTTATATCTATTATGTATAAATAAGTGAATGAACCATGTTTAGTTAAGCCTATAATGCTGTATTTTTGATAATCCAAATAAACAATTTTGAAGATTATCATCTAGAAAAATTTTCTTAGTGCAGGCATCTTTTATTATATATCTTTTCTGTCTCTGGAGCTTAACAGAGTGCTTGAAACTACTTAGGCCCTCAGCATGTTGAATAGATGTTGAAAAAAATTGCTTCGTGGATGGTTGGTACATTGTTCTGCTTCTGTGTTTTTATTTCATGATTTAAGGCCACTAATAAAGACAAGGTAAATAGCTTAATTGTTAAGCGTTTGTCAAATTACAGGGTTGCTTTAGGTAACCGAAAGTTGTATCCAAACTCTGTAGAAAAAGTTAAGTGTGCTTTTCTTTCATTTCAGCTGTACACATTGAGAAGATAATGCTGAAAGGAGTCCAGAGAAAAAGGGCTGACAAATATTGGGAGTACACCTTCAAAGTAAGCTACTTGATCACCTACAAAAAGATATCTCATATCCTATGTTAAATGAGCTTCTGGAAAGAATGAAAATTGACCTTTGGGAAAACGTATGGCAGATTTGCTAATTCAAGAAGAGCTACGTATGTATGTGTGTGTGTATATGTACTTACACACACACACATGTGTGTATATATATATATATACATCCCCTAATTAAAGGAGTGAATTGTTTTTAATATACTCTGCATAGTTTGCCAAGTTAAAAACTTTTTAATTGTATCACATTAAAATTACTCTGAAAATGTTATTTAAAAAAAACAGAGCCTTAGATTTAGGGAGACAATTAAGATGTAAGATGTACCTTTAAAAAGTAGACATTTTCACCAGTATTTTTCAAGCAAGATTGCAGGCACTGTTTTTCCTGGCATTGTTTTCCGTCCTCTCCTTTCTCTCTGACGTGTTTATTCCCTAGCCGTTGTTGCCTGTTTTCCTACCTGTAACTGTTCTCCCATCACTCTGTCCTTCACACTATCTGTAGCCTAAAGCCCAGCTCTCATCACATTACTCCCAGTGTACGACTTGTAGTGTCTCCTTACTGCCTGTTGACTGCAGTGTGAATTCCTTACCTCATCTTCCTCATTCCTCCCTGCTTGGGCCTCATTTCACCTTTTTAGCCCTTTCCTGCGTGGTTGGACTGCACACACTCTGAAGCTATGGAATGACATCCCATTTCTGTGCTTCCTCATTTCATTTCCTCCCCCAAAGGTGTTGCTAGCGCAATTTCGGCCGTACCTCTATCATGGAGTCATTCCTGACCATTCAACACAATGTTTTCTCGTTCATCCATACCCTTACCACTGTCGTATCTTTCAGGTGATCATCTAATTGGGTTACCTGTTTCATCTTCCCAGTAGATTTTCATCTGGTAGAGAGCAGGAATCTCTATCCTTGGGTCATCCCACCATATCTGACCTCCTTAGGACATTTGATGAATGAATTTCAAAACTCCGCTTCTGCTTTCTGGGAGAAAATAGCCTCAGCTTAAGTTCTCATCTCCATGTGCTTGACTTGCAGTTTTGTACCATGTGGCCCCAGCCACTGACCCTCCTTCTAATGCCAAAGCTCACAGGCTCATTCTCCCTAGGTCTTTGCTTCCCCTTGACCTGGGCTAATGTGGCTCTCCCTACTTTTGCACCATGCCCTACTCATGTTCTTTGAAACACTGATCACTAATTGAAAGGCTTCTGTTTTGGTTTACTTTCCTCTGTCTCCTGCGCTGGGCTGTAGACTTAGCAGATACTTCAACTATCTTGCCCATTTCTGTGTCCCCTATACTGAGAACAGTGCCTGACTCAAGTAATGTTCATTGAAATGACAAAAATCACTTAAGATATGTGCCAGTTAATAAAGATTTTTGTTTTGAGGCTTGCTAGATAAAGTTTTCTATATATTTTAAAGTACCTGATTAATTATAATAAGTTGGTAAAGCTTAGATATTAGTATAGCTCAGATGTTTAATTGTAGGGTGGAAATTATTAGGGGGCCACAGTTGAGTCCACTGAATTGAAAAAGTACCCAGGAAGCAGGGAGGCATGGTAGATTTCAGTCCTGGCTCTTGCCTTTACTTCGGGCTGTACCTAATTAAGTTCACTTCTTGTGAGCTTTAGTTTCTCCATCTGAAAACGATGATGATTGATCATTCATGCCCCACCTTCCTTAATAGGATTTCAGAGATTTGAGATAGAGATGAAATCTCTTTGTAGACCATAAATCCCCTTAGAAATACAATATGGTACTGTCAGAGGGGGCAGTAAACTCTAGTTGTTTCTCTTAAGATTATGTATTTAATGAATTCCAAGACATAGAATTTTTGTCTTTTCTTGGACAAAAGTCTACACTGCCAAAGTGCCATTTTGGAATCCTGCAGCTTCACCAAAAGGAACTTGAGACCTTTCCTCTTCTCAAATATTAGTAAAACATAGCCCACATTATTTGAAGACTGCTTTTTTAAAAAACCGTCCTATTTGAAGAGAATTATTAGAAAACTTATTTAAGTAGAACATGTCGATGTACAGTTAATTTTAACAATATTGAAGAAATCATGAAAATGCTAGATTAACTTTTATTATAATTTCTAGTTGTTAATAAAATTTAAGATAAGGCCCTCTGTTTTGATTCATGGCTTTTTTACTAGTTAGTTCTCGCCTGAGGAATAACCATATGATGTGTTGTGTGTGTGTGTTTTTTTTTTTTAAATCAGGTAAATTGGTCTGATCTTTCAGTAACAACAGTAACAAAAACCCACCAAGAACTACAGGAATTTCTACTGAAGGTAAAAGTATAGATTTTATTGTTAAAATGGTTTTAACATAATAAATAGAAACCAGAAGCTTCAATGCCAAAGCAAACCACCAGGAAAATTAAAACACTTGTAATAAAGCTTGCTTAGAACTCTCCATGAAATTAGCTGTAGAAGATGTCATAATATCTTAAATGTAAGTTTTACTATCTTACATTACCAATTTAAGGAAATGGTGAAGGGTTTCCCACATTTTAAGAATTGAGCCTTGTTCCTAGTTCCTTGCTAAGATATGTATTGTTGGTGGCTGCTTTCAAGAGTACTTCTAATGAAAGAATGCATCTGCAAAGTGAGATGAGGTCTGTTTTCACTGGCTCGTAGCTCTCGGACTTAACAGCTATTCAGCCCCCTCTGATAACTTCCTTAAATGTATCTCCGTTTCTTCCTCCTTTGAGTTACAGCTCCCCTCCTTTCCCTGGGATAGAATCTCTAAACTTTTGGGAATAAGACTATGATGGAAACATCTTATACAGACTTACAGAGATGAACGATATCTTACATCATTTTTTTCAAACTATCACCTGTTTCTTTACACTAATTTTATTTTTTTGAAAAATGTATGGGTAAAAATAAATATTAAATATTTCTCAATAAGCAGGTGTTTTTAAATTTATTGTTATTAGGGAGAGAAAGCAGAAAGTCCAGGAACAGGAAGCATTCCCACCTCAATTACTAACTTTTGAGTAATGAAATGACATACTTAATGAGCCTGTAACATTGGAATTTTTCAGGATGGGCCTGGTTTTTAAGTTGTCTGCTTGTCACCATAAGTGTCTTCTGTTCAGATCATGTGTGCCTGTATTCATTCTTAAAGCTGAAAGAGACTTTTTCATCAACTTGCAGAACCTTGAGCAGCACATTAGAAGCTAGCTCTCTGAGGAGCGGATGGTTAGATATACTATCAAAGTGTGTGTTCAACTGGACTTCTTGTCCTTCCCTCTGAAGGCTTTGGGCCCATGAGATAACACCCAGGCACAACTTGAATAGTTCCACTTTCCTGTGGCTCCTTTTAAACTAGGCTGAGAACTCCTTCACACACTTGAAGTTAATGACCTTATTGCATGTCAGGGGGAGGAGCGTTCATTAATTACAAGTCACCAAGGGTGATAAGCATGTGAAGTGCCGGCTTTAAGCAGCTTGGTGAGGAGGAGAGAGTGGCAGAAGGAACAGGCTTATGAGCGCTTGGTGGCACCTGCTGAACTCGCAGCCATGGTGGTAACTGTAAAAGTGCCAGAGCAGAGTGTCCACAGGGAAGAGAGTGGCATGGAGTCAAGGCAGGAGCCTTCTGCATGGCAGCGCACCCCACAAAAAGAGAACTCCTCTTGGCCCGTGTTCTCAGTATTGAAGAAATTGAAACGGGGACTGCTGTACCCTCTACCCCCTGCCACACACACACACACACACACACACACACATTTTTAAAATCTCTTCTACTTATTTCTGACCTTTCCATTTCTTAATAGAATACATTTGTCAAGGTTTAAGGGCAAGTAATTACAGCTTTGGAAATCCTGTGGGACAGTTCTACTCTCTCCTGTAGGGTCACTATGAGTTGGAATCGACTTGATGGCAATGAGATAGGAATCAAGAACAGGTTTTGTTTGGGTTAGAGAGCAACATGCTTCTGTTTCCCTTCTGTTGCCTTCTCCATGACGGAATTCTAATGCTGTCCGTTAAATTGCAGGAGATACAGAGCTAAGGCTGGAATTTCTTGGAATGTGGAGTTGGGCACGATGGTTTCCAGTGCTGACACCTGTCTAAGCCAAGCTGCTTAGCACCAGGTTGCGGGTTGGGACATTGTTTACCTGGAGGAGCACACGTGGCTGTCCCCTAGCCTGGGGTCTGCACCAAACATAGTCTCCTTTCTCCTCTTGGGTTTCCTTAAGCTCCAACCACTGTATATCTTCACAGATACCATTTTTTTCAGTCACACCATTTTTCTAAAAGCTTAGATGCTTTAAAATAATACAGCCACAAATAAGTAATTCATGCCTCAAAATTACGATAATTTATGGTCCCCCTGTAGAGCCAACATTTGAATGTAAGTATTTTTCTAAAATAGGATAAATGATTTATCAGGTAATATGAAATAATCTACAACATTGTGTTCTTCTACAAGCTAATTGCCTATTGCACAATATCCTTTCAAATTTACTGTTAACTGTATTTTCCTTTTTACCTTCTCTTAAAATCATCTACAAAAGAGCAAAAACTGCCCTTCTGACAGCCTGTGCAAGCTAACAGTCTTTAACTTTTGTAGGTGCTGTCTCACTATACTTCTAGCTTGCCATTATCTGGAAGAGTGTCTGAGTTTGAGATCAGGACTTACCATTTTTTTCCCCCATATGAATAGCAGCCTCTGCCCTGCGCATCCTACCATCTCCCCCTACTTTATTTTTCTTCTTAGCAACTGCATCTGACATACCATCTATTCTGTGTCTCATCACCAGAGTGTAAGCTCCTCGAGGGCAGGGCTTTTGTCTTTCCTTCACTGCTATATCCACCGAGCCTAAAGCAGTACCTGGGAGAGAGTAGGAGGTTTGAGTATTTGTTGGCTCCATGTATGAATGAAGAGTGTTAAAAATACTACATTGTAATGAGTTTTTGTAGGTAGCTCTCCACAAGGCCTCAGTGTTTTTAAAGAAACGCATGTGATAGCTAGGTGCAAATACTCGTCACGTCCTCTGAGATTGCGTGAAGGCTGAGCCGAGGCCCCAGAGGTGGGAGGCTGGGTGTGCTGAAAGTAAGGTCTGAGAGGTGAGGAAAAACAGGTGACCAGAATATAAAAGCTGTATTTTTAACAGATATGCCCTCCTTTAGGACTGGAAATTGAAGATCAAAAACACTTAAAAATAAGTCAATTTGCAAATATTTATTATGGATCAGCACTCTGCCCAATAATGTGAAATATATTACCTACTTGGTGAAAATTTATGTATTATTGCCTATATGTGTTTAAGAAGAACTATCAGTGTTTGAATAGTTGAGATAGACTTCTCCACTGAAGTTGCTGTGTTACTCTGCCGCCTCTGGGGAGTCCTGAGGTGCGCAGAAGACAGACATTATGTTTCCTGATGGAGAGAAGTCTATACTGGTTCAGTGTAGGGCCCTGTGTCGTTAAGATTTGTAAAAGAAACTGCTTCTGGATGGTTAATGTGGGCAGGAGGCATTTACCTTCATGTTGTTGATCTGGTTTGCAGCATGTTTACCAGTAAGTAGGAAACTTAATGTTGGACATTGTTTGATTTTTTTTTTTCCTTCCTCTTCTAGCTTCCAAAGGAATTGTCTTCAGAGACTTTTGACAAGACTATCTTAAGAGCGCTGAACCAGGGTTCCTTGAAAAGGGAAGAACGGCGACATCCTGATCTTGAGCCCATCCTAAGGTAGCCATTTCACTGATGCCATCTCAGCAGGCACGGATGCGGAAACAGGCAGTCTGCGTGAACTCAGTGGGTTTTCAGGCGGATCTCAGAGATTCCTTCTTTGGAGTACTTTTTTTTTACCCTTTATGACAGAATAAAACTGTCCCATACGGTTTCCTAGGCTGTTACTTTTTTTTTTTTTTTTTTT